AATCAGTCTCAGGGACGCTCAACTGCATGCCCGTCGTCCTCATCGGGGTCTTGACCTGACTCCAGCTCGTCGCCGTAACAGACTTGTGTGGGCAAATGCTCACATTCGATGGCGTCTGGCACGTTGGAGAGGTGTGGGCTTCACGGATGAATCATGGTTCACATTGTTCAGGGCAGATGGCAGCTGAGAATGTCCCAGTTCTTGCATGGCCAGCATACTCACCGGACATGTCACCCATTGAGCATGTTCGGGATGTGCTTGACCGGCGTATACGACAGCGTGTACCAGTTCCCACGAATATCCAACAACCTCGCACAGCCATTGAAGTGGAGTGGACCAACATTCCACAGGCCACAATTGACAATCTGATAGACTCCATGCGACGATGTGTTGCACTGCATGAGGCAAATGGTGGTCACACCAGATACTGACCGGTTCTGGGTCCCCAGACCCCCAATAGTGCAAAAAACTGCACATTCCAGGGTGGCCTTTTGTTGTGGGCAGTCTGAGGTACACCTGTGCACTACTCATGATGTCAGATCAGCATCCTGATGTGGCACACCTGTGAGGTGGGATGGATTATCTCAATATAGCAGATGTGCCCACTACCACACATTTGGACTGATTTGTGACCACTGTTTGGGAGGGATGGTTATATTGTGTATCTGGAATGAATTTTAGGTCTCTACGTCCATCCCATGGGGAATGGGAGCAAAAACAAAAGTGTTGCGTTTATATTTTTGTTCAGTATATGTGTATATATATGTGTGTGTGTGTGTGTGTGTGTATGTATGTATATATATATATATATATATATATATATATATATATATATATATATATATATATATATATATATATATGTATTAGGGGTGCAACGATATTCGTATCGATATTGAACCGTTCGATACAGTGCTTTCAGTTCGGTACGCATATGTATCGAACAATACAAAATTTGTAATTTATTTTATCAACTTTCCTTCTGACGATGCTGTCTGTGTTGAGCGCTCAGTGAATCTGCGTTCGACTACTCCGCCTAGGCTCGACAGTGCAGCCTAGGCGTGTGAACTGTGTATAGAGAGCGACAGCACTGATCTGTGAGTGATGATAATTTGTGCACCAATTCCTCTGACATCATCTTATTAATCGTTAGCTTACTATGCAAACATGACAAGTGAAATCTCCCGCAGCTTAAACATGTGAGAGGTTGATCGCGCAGAGAATCACTGAGCTTATGTGAGTGTGTGTGTAAAAGCAGCAGGATATATATTTGACTACGATGACCTGGATGGCTGAGAACCTTCACAGACAGATATATATTTTAGTTCTGCTGAGCCAAATAAGACAGGTCAGGGTGAAGAAGTGACAGCCAAAGAAAAGCTTACCACAAAACGGAAAAGTTATGACAAATCAGACTATAAGGCAAAAAGAAAGTGCAGCTTTATGGTTTCATGGACAAAAGAATTTCTGTGGCTGCAATATGACGAGCTAAATAACCAGGGCTGCACATAAGTGGTCCGCAGGTGCGCATTCGCTGTCAAAATAAAAAACACGCACAAGGGTTAGGGTTAAATTTAAAAACTGTACTTTTGAGTTAAAATATATATTTATAATTTTAATAAATGACAAATTAAAAAGGCATGAACAATTTTTTTGTATCGAAAAAATATCGAACCGTGACACCAAAGTATCGAACCGAACCGAACCGTGAATTTTGTGTATCGTTGCACCCCTAATATATATATATATTACTCAATGTTTCTTACAGCAGTGGATGAAAAATAATTGATATATATCATAAATGAATGAAAATAAAAAACATCCACTGATTTCAATGAAAATTGTCAAGAAGATCATAGAGGCAAGTTCAAAAACAGAATGAAACTAGCTAAAATTTCTGACTCCATAAATTACAGGCCTGTTTGTCTACTACCACAATTCTCAAAAATCCCAGAAAAACTGTTCAATAAACAATTAGATAAATTCTTAGATAAATATTAGTTATTCTCTGGGTGGCTGTAGAGCAGGTCGTCTACTCATCGGAAGGTTGGCGGTTCGATCCCTGGCTCCCCTGCCAAATGCAGGGCAAGATATTAACCCCAAGTTGCTCTCCGATGCATCCATTGGAGTATGAATATGTGTGAGTATGAATATGTGTGAATGGTAGTTCGAAAGGACTCCAAAGCATAGAAACAGTGCTCGTTTGAATGGGTGAATGTGGCATGTTGTATAGAGTACTCTGGGAGAGTAGAAAACTGCTATGTAAGAATCAGTCCATTTAACACTCAATATGGGTTCAGATCAAACCGCATTAATTGAATAAACTGAGAGATTACAAACACTAGACATCATAAACAGTATGCAGGCAGAGTATTACTACATTTGATCATGAAATAAAACTGGAATGGTATGGGGTCAAGGCGGTTGTACTGCATTGGGTTAAAAATTGTTTACAGCTACAGATTGACCTATGGAGAAACACCCCCAAGGGTTCCGAGAGCATGAGAGTGAGGGAGAATGAGAATCCTAGTCAGACAGACCAAATGATAATAGATCATGGCAATGGAAACACAATAATGATTATGAGATCCATTTGCAACAAAATCTGTAAGAACCTGTATAGCCCCAAAATCCACCAGGTCAAGATGAAGTAATAATAATAATAATAATAATGGACTGGATTTATATAGCGCTTTTCAAGGCACCCAAAGCGCTTTACAATGCCACTATTCATTCACTCTTGCATTCACACACTAGTGGAGGCAGCTACAGTTGTAGCCACAGCTGCCCTGGGGCAGACTGACAGAAGCGAGGCTGCCATATCGCGCCATCGGCCCCTCTGGCCAACACCAGTAGGCGGTAGGGTAAAGTGTCTTCTGGTGACATGCTGGAGGAGCCAGGCAGGGAGATACCTCAGAGTGCCCAGAACCTCCAAGTGACACATGACCAGTCATCAGAACATAGGTCAAGTGGCCCCAAGCTTGTAAGAAGGAGGAGTGGCCACTGTTCGACAATGATGTCGATGCCATCTTGGAAGCAAAAGCCAAGGGAGAAGCTGACTACCACCTCCAGACAATGAGGCCACCATCATCATCAGCCAAGCAGCTGAGCAGTTTGAGTGCTGGAGAGTGTAGCAAAACCTTACACGAAGAACAACCGAGCAAAAACAATTCACATGCTCAGAAAGGACCCCTCGTAGAGTTGCGTGGCATCCTGTGGAAGAAGCTGCTAACATTGAGAAGGACTGAGGAGCATAGGAGGCAGAAGAAGGAGAGGGCCAGAAAGCTAGCTGTCTTTCTAGAAAATCTATTTGGATTTATGAAACAGCTGCTGGGACAGAAGCACAATGGCCAGCTCACTTGCTCCAAAACAGAGTAGACCATCATCTAATAAGCAACTATGGAGTTAAATTCGGGAGCCTTAATAGATCCTCCTGGACCAACACAGGACTTTGACGAGAAGGAGCCCTGTGGGAAGGAGGTCCAGGAGGTGGTCAAGACGGCGAGAGGAACCCCCCCCGCCCCCTCCCCCAGGGCTGACTGGAGTACTGTATAAGGTGTATAACAACTGCCCTAGGTTACTCCACAGACTCTGGATGCTCCTCAAAGTGATCTGGAGGGGGGCAAGGTAGCTTACCAGTGGAGTTTTGCAGAAGGGGTGTGGATTCCAGAGGAGGAAGAGTCCAAAAATATTGATCAATTCAGAATTATTTCCCTTCTTAGTGTTGAAGCTGAGATTTTCTTCACCATTGTTGCCAGGCATCTAACAGACTACCTCCTGAGGCACAACTACCTTGACACTTCAGTCCAGAAGCGGGGAATCCCAAAAGTGTCAGGATATCTGGAGGCACACAGGCTTAGTTAGGCAGCTAATCAGGGAAGCCTGAGATCAGCATCATGTCTGATCTCAGAAGCCAAAAAGCAGGTCATCCTAATAGAAGTGACTGTTGGAAGCATCACATGGAGGATCTAATGAGAGAAAAAGGATATCCAGGGCTAGTAGAAAAGTGTAGAAGGGATGGGCGGCAAGTGAGGTGTGAACACAGAGGTGGGTGCAGAGGATTCATTGTCCAGTCCTGCTTCAGGACCTTCAGCAAGCTGGGCATCACAGGCGCAAGCAAGCACAAGGTTATCAAGTTGGTCACTGAGGTCGCAGAGGTTGTGTCAAGATGGTTGTGGATCCAGTGGGGAGAGCGATGGGTGACTCTTGATCACCCCACCTGGGTGAGGGTATATAACGTTGAAAGACTCAAAACACCTGATGACTCCAGGAAAAATCACCGAAGACTTGTCCAGATGCATGTTAAAAGTGTGAAGTTGAGAGAATAATCCTTATCATGCTTGGACATTGCTTCCTCAGGTTTATGTATTCGTTTTTATATAAATGTATAAATGACATTTGTAAAGATATCTGATATATTAAAATTAGTATTATTTGCTGATGACAGTACATTTTAAATCATGTTGTTTTTTTAAATTCTCAAACTCACAACTGCAGATTGAAATAGATGATGTGGAAATTGAAAGCCCATGAAGATAACTTTTTTGGTGTGATAATGTATGTGTGTGTGTGTGTGGGAGGGGGGGGATTGTAAGGAAGGATTTCTGATACAGCATAAAGAAGAGAAAGTGATGCTGATTTGTACTTCTGAATTTGGATGAAAAGTGAAAGTTCAGGCTTCTTCCTCAGTGCTTTTGCAAACTTAGATTACCTGCAGAGAATCTATACATCCATCCATCTATCCATTTCAGGGTGCTACGTCTTTTCTCTCCAACTTTCTTGCTACATTTTGAAAGTCCTCTGGGTGAGTTCTTAATAAAAGCAGGACTCTGTTATTTACCTAGGCAGTTGGTTTCTTTAACCTGCTAAAAAATGAAGCTATAATATAATGCTCCCTCAGTAAAAGCCTACACTGTGTCTCAGGATTATGTAAAATTAAATATTATCTTTGAAGTTCATCTGAGCTATTTTTTTCTGTCTTCTTTCCTTCAGTATTCCAAACACTGAAGCTGGTTTACCCCATGACAAAGACTCTATGGCCATCATTCACCTGAACAACACCACAGTCATATACCTGAAAGAGGTCACCAAGTTTCTTGCCATGGTCTGCTTCCTCCGCAAGGAAAGCTTTGCTAGGAAAGGTCAGTTCATTAATATTCACTACCTTTATAAGCATGTCAGGAAGTAGCCCTATTGCGAAATTCATTATCATGCTTTCTTTTCTTAAGTTAAAGATGGATTGATCCCGTGCAAGTAGGAAATTAACAAGCAGCACATTCTTATCCTCAGCTCAACACACACTGATATGAATTGGTCAGGAACCCTTCTAGTCATACTTTAAAGTACTACCCACATAATCCAGGTGTTACCTATCTAGGACCATTTTTATAATGCAGGTTAGTGCTAAATACAATGAGTCTAGAACAGGGGTAGGCAACTCCTACTGGCCTCGAGTGCCGGTGTCCTGCAGGTTTTAGATGTGTCCTTGATCCAACACAGCAGATTCAAATGGCCAAATTACCTCCCCAACAGTTCTCCAGAAGCCTGGTAATGGACTAATCATTTGATTCAGGTGTGTTGACAAAGGGCAATATCTAAAACCTGCAGGACACTGGCAATTGAGACCTGGAGTTGCCTACCCCTGGTCTGGAAGTATTAAAACAGGAAAAAATATTTTCTGTAGGTAGGTGGGGTTGAGTTACAATGCAATTTCACCCAGAAAACAAGGATTAGCATCCCATGTAGGAGTTCCATTTTAGACTTTTGTTTGAGTTTTCTTTCTTTTTTCAAGGACTATTTCAGTCCGGTTTAAGCACCAAAACTACTTGGTTACTTACAGGAAATGCTTTGGATTACAACATACTCTTTCACTTTAGAATGCAAACTTTTCCCTTGTGCAAAAAAAAGTCTTACCACAGTGAAGATACCAGGAGTAAACATCTAGCAGCAGGTTCATTAAATCTTTGTGCTAATTCAGTGTTGAAGCCTAACAGACAACCCTAAACATACACAAAAACAGTGTGAAAGGGGGACACAGATGACGGGACAGCTGACAGCCCTCACTGAAAGCTGAAAACAGAAAAGAGATGGCAGATCATGTCAAAATGAACAGTTATATTTTTGCACAGAACATGTTTAGTTCTTCAGTCTAGTTGAGGAACCACTTCAAAGTGTGATAAATTTCGTTGTGTTCATATTGAAATGCCTGTAAAGTTGCTTTGTTATTATGTGATTAAGTATCCAAAGTTCTTCATCAAGTGCAACACTGGTAAAGATTTATACAGAATTCAGGCATACACTACAAAGATGACTGCAGTGCAGTGAAAAATTAATTTGGCCCCTTCCTAATTTGTTATTTTTTGCATATTTGTCCAAATTGCATATTTCAGATGATCAAATTTTAATATTAGCGCCTGGATAAAAACAAAACGTAGTTTTTAAATTGTGGTTTTTTTAATTAAAGTAAAACATGATCTAAACCTAACTGGCCCTATGTGAAAAGTAATTGCCCTCTGTTTTATAAAGGACTCAAGGCGCACAGCTTTTTTTGTTTTGTTTTTTTTAATTTACAGTGCAGTCTGCATTTTCTTTACCTGTGCAGCTTACCAGCTGTCTTGTTCTCGTGTAGCACACTGCTCTCCCGTCACGTCCTGGCATCCTACTGAGATAGGGCAGGCACGACCAGTCGAAGGAGAACAGGTGTGTTGGTCAGCCTCCCCTGACACCACACGCTGAACCCACTGCTCCACCCCTCTCCTGCCATTCTCATTGGCTCTGCTTTGAGAGGCACCACCATCGCTAAGCAGCATATCAAAGCAATTACATTCATGCAAATTAATTGCATTTATGTGTGGTCAAATGTTTGTTGGAGGCAATGATACATTTGACACTAAAGCCCCAAGGCTTGTGTTCAGTAAAGTGGGCGTGTCCAAATGAAGCGTAATATGTAATATTGATATTACGTAATTACTCCCAGGAGAATGTGATTTGGAATTTATCTCGTGTCACAGCCTTTTGACAACTGGGCGGTACTACCAGCTTCAAAATGGCATCTCTAACAACGCCGTCAGCCAGAGTGATTCACTTTCGAAACAACAGACCATTATGCAACATATAAACCACACGCTGGGCTGTTTATTTCAGTTTCAGGCAACACTCGATTGTATAAATCTTTCAGACTCTGATCATTCTGTGAACTGTTAAAGGAAACTCGTTTAAAGACGGAACCTTCAACTCAGAGTCACACTTCTCGAGGGTATGTCACCATCAGTCATTGCCATAGCATGTCTGACCACATAAGCAGAAAAAACCTCTGGAATCTCACCAACACCTTCATCTGAGACAGTGGAACAGATGTCACAATAGTTAAAGGAGGAACATCTGCCCAAACCCTGCTACCATTGCCCAAAATAAAATGAACACCATCAACAGGCAATGCTGGACGTACTCCCATGGAAATGTCACCTTGGAAGAGCTTGCAATTCAAGTTGAGCTTGTGCAAAGGAACAGGAAGAGTGGTGAAACCCATCCCATAACTGAGGATGTAGTCACATGTGTCAGACTCCTTTGAGAAGGGCAGCACAGAGTTCACTATATAGAAGTCATAGATTCCTGTGTCACTCGGAATTTTAACTGGGTCTTTATCGTCACCTCCGACCAAGGAAACAAAGCCATCCCTAATGAAAGGAACATTAGGAATAGACTAATCATTGTTAGGCTTTGTGCACTCACCAAATGTAAGAGCAAAGCAAACCATACCAAATGCAAACAAATCTGACCCCTGAAGGACAAGCAGAGCAAAGATGAAGGCAAGATCAGATCAGATCAGAATCGTGTTTATTGGCCAAGTATATGTGCAGACACATACAGGGAATTTGGTTCCGGTAGATGGTGGCTCTCAAGCACAGCAATGTAAATCACACACACACACACACACACACACACACACACACACACACGTGTCTATATATACACATTACACATACATACACAAAGCTGTGTAAACCAACTATAAATAACGAATCTAAACTTATATACATAAAATACAGAAATGAATGAGGTGGAATGAATACTACAGAATGTACATAAGGTGCAGTTGCAGTCTGGCAGTGGGAGCAGTGTGACAGGTCAACTGTTAAGAAGGGAGATGGCGAGGGGAAAGAAACTGTTCCTGTGTCGGGTGGTCCTGGTCTGCAGGCTTCTGTACCGTCTGCCAGAGGGCAGCAGATCAAAGAGTCTGTGTGCAGGGTGTGAGGGGTCTGTGATGATTTTCCCTGCCCGTTTCCTGGTTCTTGAGAGGTACAGATCCTGGATGGAGGGCAGGGGGGCGCCGATGATCCTTTCTGCTGCCCGTACAGTCCGCTGCAGTCTGCTCCTGTCCTGTTTAGTGGCTGCTCCATACCAGACTGTGATGGAGGAGCACAGGACAGACTCAATGACTGCAGTGTAGAACTGGATCAGCAGCTCCTGTGGAAGACTGTACTTCCCCAGTTGTCTCAGGAAGTACATCCTCTGCTGGGTCTTTTTGAGGATGGAGTTGATGTTGGTCTCCCACTCCCACAAGATAGACCCAGCTGCACAACACCCAGGCCCAAATACCTGAGTTGGGGTGAAGGTCCAACTCAGGTGTTCTCAATCAGTTTGCCCCCTGCACTCCAGCCAATGTGGAGTGCAGATGGTTCCTGCTCAAAAGAGAAGGAACTAAACTAACAGTTCCAAGAAACTGGACTACTGGGATCACTAGTGATTCCCATTGCTAGTGATAGACAGAGCTTAAATAATTCTGGAGGCATAAAGGTGATTAGCTATATAGCTGTGTAAAGAGTTATTGAAGCTAAGCTAAAAATGGAGCTGACGAGCAGCAGTATGACTTACGAGTGTGCTGACGGAGAAGTATAGAGAAGGTCAGAAGGAGCTTCTGTGTGCCTTTGTGAAATTAGAGGAAACATATGATGGGGTGGCAAGAGAGAAAATATGGTACTGGATGAAGAAGTCAGGAGTGGCAGACAAGGTGAGGGTGGTGGATGACATTCATGAGATCAGCAAGATAATGATGAGGTGTGTAGTAGGAGTGACATATCAGTTGAAGGTGGAGAAGGAAATCCATGATTGGCCCTTTTTTGTCATTGGCGCTGTGATGGACAGTTTGACAGATGAGTTATGATGTTCTTAGACAGCACTGTAGTGAGAGTGAGGAGCTGGTGGAAGAAATTTTAGAGAGGTGGAGGCATGGTCTGGAGAGTAGAGGAATGGAAGTCAGTAGAACCAAGACCGGATACATGTCTGTGAATGACAGGGTAATGAATGTAACAGCGAAGCTTTCAATACCTGCTATAGAGACCTGCTATAATGGTTTGGAGAAGGTGGAACAAACAAAAAGACAGGTGGCGGAGCTAGAGATGGAGAGTTGAAGATGTTAAGATTTTCTTTGAGAGTGGCCAGAAAGGAAAAGATTAGACATAAATATATCAGTGGTACAGCTAAGGTCAGATGCTTTGGAGACAAAATTAGAGAAGCAAGGTTTAGATGGTGTGGACATCTGGATAAATGGGACAAAGATTCCAGGAAGGAAGAAGAGAGGATGGCTACAAGAAGAAGAAAAAGATTAAGATACCACATATGGCTCTTCAATGTCCCAAACAAAATTTTTTACAGTGTAATTTTTTTCATCAAGCCAATTCAAAAGCACGAGTCACGTGTGCATTATGTTGTTTTACTGCAGAGGTAATCACGGTGCAGTATAAACCTCTCGTATTTTATACTAGTTGTCTAGCTAAGTAAAAAAAAACAAACAAACGTTATTATTGTTACTATTGTAATTGTCTGTAACAACTGTCCAAATTTCAGTTGAAATCACTGTTCTTTTTCTTTCTGTCTCCTTTCCCTGAATTTTGATGTTGATTGATTTTAACAATATCAAAACAATGTTTAGTAGGCTGGGCACTCTGAAATGGCACGTTAGTTGAATTATGTAGTTAGCAACACTAGTGAACGATTTTGATTTGTTCTGTTTAAGAAATAGTATCTGTACTGTAGTTCTATTTAACTTCTTTGCATTATGGATCACAAGTGAATCAGTACAAAACAGTTTTCGTGATTTGAGGGTTATCTCTCATATCACAACTCTTTACATGACTTATAGTAGCCAAATGTCATTCATTTTCAATGGCAGATTTCTTTTTTGCTTTCTCTGTCTCCTTGTTGTCCCGTTCTCTTTACTTCTCTCTCGCTCTCCTTCTCTTTGTCTCTTCATTCTGTTATGTGCATGTGTGTGTGCATGGTTGCCTCTTTGTTCTATATCTCTGAAGACATGCCCTTCAGCTGGTGCTGCTGACAGACTTCAAAAAAACTGTGCTTAAGGACTGGCTCCGCTGCTCCACCTTTGCCAGATCATATCTTAGTAGTTTACATTTTTTCTAGTATCGCTTTCATCTCTTCTTCCACAAAGCTCACAGCCTAATCAGATTCTCTTATTGCATGTTTGGAATTTACTGGATTTTGATTCAAACTCAGATTACCTGCATGTCTTTCCACTCACCTGCTTAAAATGTACCCTTCTCTTCATCCCCACAGAAAACAGCCCTGCAGTTCATGTTGTTGTTAAATTACAACTTTGTTAATAAACCTTTTTTGAAAGGTTGTCGTAAAAACATAAGAGAATGAGCACAGCATCTGATTGGCCAGACAGTATCAGACACTCTCTAACTTGCCGTCAGCACTGTGATCCTCATTCAACTAATCCCTTTAGTCCCCACTAATACAATCCTGGTTCCCCAGCCTTTCTTCTATGAAGCATCTTCACGATCATGTGAGACTTATGCGAATGAGCTGGCCTGGTGTTGTGGACTTCTGCTTCTGGTTTTGTCAGCATTAAGCTGACAACCCCACTTCACACTACTCTGAGGTGTCTAATCTAGGGTGTCTGTCTTAGTGGAATTATTCAAAGAATTGGCCACAAGCTGAAATGAATTATTGTGTCCTCAGTGGTGTATTTGCGTAATCGTAGTCTTTCACTAAACGTCCTCCTGTGACTGGCCAGCATGTCATGAAGTGGATGGAAGGTAATGTCCAGCATCGTCCTTATGTAGGACAACATCTGCCTCTCCAGAGTCCAGCTCCCTCCCCACAACATTACTGGCTTTGCAGACCAGTTTATTGAATCTGGTGCTATCTGCAACCTGCTGCCCCAGCATGACACATCATAGAGGATGGCACTGGCTGCAGCAAACTCATGGAAAATCCTGAGCATTGTCTGACAGATATGAAAAGACTCAACCACCTTCAGAAAATAGAGACGTGTACTTATCTACAATACAATACAATTTTATTGATATAGCACGTTGAAAGCCAGGGTGTACACCAAAGTGCTTCACAGTTAAAATAACGGTAAAAGATTACACTGAACAGTAAGTCGTTAAAACATGGTAAAATACAGAAAGTAGAGAAAACAAACAAAAAGCATTAGTAAATAGAAACAGGGAGAGAACATGATTATCCAGAGAAATGAGTAGGGATACAGCAATTAAGGAGCGGTGAGAATTAGCGAGTAAGAAAAGCCAGGTTGAATAGGTAAGTTTTCAAGCATGCGTTAAATGATTGAATGGAGTCAGAGGCACGAATGGTAGCAGGAAGACTATTCCATAGGTTTGGTGCTACAGAGGCAAAAGCACGATCACCCCTAGTTGGTGCCTGGGCTGGGCCAGAAGTAACTGACCGCAAGATTGTAAAGAACGGCTGGGAGTATAGAGACTGAGGTATAGGTATTTATAGTCCTCCACATTTACCTCCTGGATTGAAACAGGGATCGCTGGTTTCCTGGCCTTGAGAACACGGGGACTCACCCTGTCTGTCCCAGCAAACCTGCCTGTAGCGTGATATGGTACTACAAGGTCATTAAGATAAGATGGGGCCAGATTATTTAAGACCTTGTATGTGAGGAGCAGGATTTTGAATTCTGGATTTAACAGGGAGCCAATGAAGGGAAGCCAAAACAGGAGAAATATGCTCTCTCTTTCTAGTCCCTGTCAGGACTCTTGCTGCAGCATTTTGGATTAACTGAAGGCTTTTCAGGGACTTTTTAGGACTTCCTGATAATAATGAATTACAGTAGTCCAGCCTGGAAGTAATAAATACATGAACTAGTTTTTCAGCGTCACTCTGAGCTAAACTCACCGATCCTTCAAAGTCCTATCTCCATTCAGTCATCTTAGTTTATAAATGTAGGGCCTTCTAAACTCCTCTGTTTTCACATCAAAGCACAATTTAAAATCAGTCATTGTATTTGTAACTATTCATTACCTCCATTTCTGGTTGTTATTGTGTGTGAGCTGGAGAGAATGGTCAATAATCATGAGACTTGGCTCCAAAAAGGAACCATAACACAATTTTGAGATGAATTTCATCAACTAGGTCATGGCGTATTTCATTATTTTCCTGGAGGCTTATGAAAATTTTGTCATTTCTGGTTTTAGAGGACAGTTGTGCTTGCAATTTTATCATGTCCTGAGGTGCTAAATTTCACCTTCATGATTTTTTTAATAAGGGCCTTGTATGATGTTGCTGTCAGCATTTACACTTTACATTCAGTTTTTGTGCTTGGTGTCTGTATACCTATAGTTTAGCTCTGCTTCATTCCTGTTATTCTTTCATCTGACTTTATCTACCTCATGTTGCTTGGTAACAGGTGGATATTAATGTTCAGTGAGTGACAATGGAAGAGTTTTCTTTCCCCTTGAGATTAAAAGTCTCCATGGAGATGATCTACTGTTCAGCCTCACCTTTAAAGAAATTTGTTTGCGAGGGAGGGACAGAGCATGTGCAGTTTACAATCTTAAGGTGTGACTGTGCTTGAACTCTTTTAGATTCTGCCAAACGCTGGAGTCGGGGGAGAGGGTTGGTACCCTCTGAACAGTTTTGTTATCTCACTCCCAAACACAAAAAGTGCTCTATTGTCTGACAAAATGAGCAAGAGTGTTCAAAACCAGTGCAATGATGCACAAATAGATGACCGTAAAGAAACCATGAAAACCAAATCTAGATCTATACATTTTTTGTTTTTTTTATGGCCTCAGATATGGTACCTTTGGACTTTCCCTTGTATTTAAGGGTTGTTCTTCAGACATCATATAAGTGCTAGAAAGTATTTTCATTTCTAACAAATGTGATTCTGTCCTCTCTCTGACAGGACTGATTGACTACAACTTTCACTGCTTCAAAAAAGCCATCCAGGAGGTTTTTGATGTTCGCGTAAAGGTTCAACAGAGCCGAAAACTCCTCAACCAGAGGAGGTGGAGTAAACTGACTCTGACCAGCGGAGTGTGCAGCAGCACCCACTAACAACTGTACCTGAGCTGCACCCTGATGGGTTTTTTAAATTGTTTTCTTAGTGTGAATCATTTGCTCCATTCAGCCCCCAGTGTCTTTCACTTGCCTATTTTTACTGGGCAAAAAGAACACAAGAAAACTAAACTACACAAAAAAATTAATATTTAAGTACATTTGAAGATGTTTATGATGGGAACCTGAACCAATTAGTGTGTTAATGTGAAAAAAATACTTTTAAAATAAAGAATTATACAAGAGGCAGTAGAATAGAAGATCCCTTTATTGTCATTGTACAACAAAATTTTGGAAACTCAAGTTCTCCGACTGTATAGTGAAGTATGGAAGTTGTGATGGAAAAGCTTTTTAAACCGTATTTTCAGCCAAAGAGACCAACTCTTAAAGGTTTTTTCTTTATCAGATTTGAGTTGAGTTATCAGATGCAGTTTTTTTACATCCAGGAATGTGTTAAGAGAAACTGGGGAAGACACACACCAAAGGACTGCAGATTGGACCCAGACTGCTATTTAGCCATGTGGCATATGATCGTCTGTTCAACTAGTGAGCTAAACTGGTGCCACATACATGCAGTTTTTATGTCCCACTGACCACTGAAATGGACATTCTCTCCCTCCCCATTTAGTTTGATAGGAACTTTACATAGACCAAATGAAATGTCTGATTATGTTGAGTGAGACCTGTTCTGATTTGTCAGTTATCATCCTTGGTTCAGTAGAAGAGTGGAGTCAGCATCTCTTTTCTATACAGTATTTTCATTAACAACTGAGTCTTCTAGCTAAAAGTTAATGTGAAAATGTAAGTAAATGTGATGACTGAAGTGTTTCCTTGTTCCCTGTATTAAAAATGTTCATGTCGAACTATGTCTATCTCTTATAATGGCTGTCACACAGACACTTCCAGGTGACTTATTTCAGTTAGGAACCTTCCAAAGCAAAATAGACTATTGGACTGGAACAGACCCTGAATTTCTCTCTGGCGCCTTCCCTGCTGAAACCACCCACTAACACTCAGTTTGTCTGTGAAGGTTCTCAGTCATCCAGGTCATCGTAGTCTAAGGAGCTTGGAAAGAAAAGTGTCTGGACTTCTTTAAGTTGCTTGAAAACGTTTCACCTCTCATCCGAGAAGCTTCTTCACCATTTGACCCTAGAACTGAAGAAGCTTCTCGGATGAGAGGTGAAACGTTTTCAAGCAACTTAAAGAAGTCCAGACACTTTTCTTTCCAAGCTCCTTAAACACTCAGTTTCATTTCCTCACTTATGCGGCTGTTGTCAACCACATACAAGAGCATATTCATATGCACAAATACATTTTTACAAGCCTAAAATCCTGGTCCTTGACGTTCATGGATTTCATGGCTACTAAACCAGATCTCAGGCTATCTTCTGAATACCAACTGTTCTAAAACTTTAAGCCTTATGTTCTATTCTGCATTTAATTTTATGTTAAACCACGGTCTGATACTGTTTATGGCAATTACAGCCATTCTGTCATTTCCTCCCTCTCCCTTTCCTATACACACACACAAAGTGTAGCTTAGATATCCATGTGTACATGTGTGTGTATAGTGTAGTGTGCCTCTTAGCCAGGTCACCAGTGGATTCAGTGGATTGCATAACAGCTGTTAGTGTCTTTGTCTGAACTACAATGTGTTACATAAGCAAATTTGATGTTCACAGATATAATCCGGCCTGTGCTCCCTGAGTACTTCCCACCTAGGATTTCCAGCGTGTCCTCGTCCTGAGCTCAACACTCACCTTGCCCCACAGCTTCAGTTTGACATAACTTTGCATAAAGGCAGATCAAAATGTCAAAATGAGCTATAGTGGTGTGAAAAAGGGTTTGCCCCCTTCCTGATTTCCTATTTTTTGTGTATGTTTGTCACACTTAAATGTTTCAGATCATCAACAAATTTAAACATTAGACAAAGATAACACAAGTAAAAACAAAATACAGTTTCTAAATGAGGAAAAATATCCAAAGCTGTTCTCAATTAGGAACCAGGACCTGCCCGACAAAGTGGAGTAGACCCAAAGATCAGTGAGAGCATAGTGAGAGCCATTCACCACAAATGGTGAACCTTCCTAGGAGTGGCCAGCCAACCAAAATTATCCTCAGCAATGACTCATCCAAGAGGTCACAAAAGACCCAAGACCCCAGAACATCCACAGAACTGCAGACCCTACTTGACTAGTTAAGGTCAATATTTATAATTCCACCATAAAAAACAGACAGGGAAAAAAATGGCCTGCATGGCAGAGTTACAAGACCACAGCTGATCAAAACAAATATAAAGGCTCGTCTCAGTTTAGCCAGAAAACATCTTGATGATCCCCAAGATTTTCTGGAAAATACTCTGTGGACTGATGAGTCAAAAGTGGAACTTCTTGGAAAGTGTGTCTCCCACTACATCTGGCATAAAAGTAACATAGCATTTCAGAAAAGGAACATCATAACACCATTAAAATATTGTGGTGGTAAACATGTCAGTCCTGGTCTGATTGTGGAGGGGACCAGAGAAAACTACAGAGTCTGACATTGTTTTGGCAAAGTTTGGCAAACCGATTTAAAATTGATTTTAGTGATCTCCAATAGACATAACCGGGTGTCATTACTGCCGATGTGAATTATAGTTTTACTGAATTTACTTCTAACCTTAGCCAGCAGTTTTAAATTTCCCTGACTGTTGCCTGCTCTGGCCCCTGGAAGACAATTGACTATGGTTGCTAATGTCTGTAGCGTCACGTCTCAGAACAGAATCACCAATTACCAGAGTTTGATCCCCAGCAGGTGTGTCGCAGAGTGGGAAAAAGTGGTTAGACACATGAACAGGTTGGTGGTTGAAGGATACAAAAAAAACAACAACAGCAATAGAATAATATTAAACACAAAGTGAACCCGTCTTCCTTCATTAAATAGGTTCTTTTAGATGTTAAGGAGGAATTGACTTAACCAGGCTGGCGGAGAATGAAGACAACCGGACACCTGCGGCAGATGGGGAATCAGTGAACTTTTATTGAGACAGAGACAACCTCTCAACACAGCTCACATCAGGAGATTCCTAAGATTTGCTGTGAGGATGGGTATATATTCTCTAAAACTTACAGGAGGGGGTTGTGAGGAAAGTGCTGCATTAGCAGAAAAACAACTCCATAAAAGGAAATCGGCCTTGGGTGTTCTAGTCTCTTCGCTTGCAGATATCTTGCACCTGCAGGATGAGGCGATCGCTTCTTATCGCTCTCAAGGCCAAAGTCGTGAGCACATTTTTATTACACAGTTGCACAGTAACTTTAAAGCTGAACAATATTTAAAGCTGAATAATGTTTGATCAGATTATATTTTCTTCAAATCCCCCTTTTGACCCATCTTAAATGGGTCAACACACAAAAATAAGTAACATTCAAAGGAACACAGAGACGTGTCGAAGCCTGGCTCGAAAAACTCCTCGGGTCTTATCATTTGTCTTTATCTGTCATTGCAGATGAGGAGAAAAGAGTCCAGGCACCACCCTGCCCAGGGGTCGGCTGCAAGCAGTCTCGGTTCCAGACGAAAGCAGTAACAGCTGTCCTGCACACAAGGATACAACGAGTCAGTGCAACCAGGGTAGTGACACAAAATTAACAGTTCCTGTAACCCAGCAACCAAAAAGCATAAGTAATGATAAAAATGTGGAGAGTACAGAGTATACTATAATAATGAGAGATATAAACGTGAAAATGTGAAAGAATAAATCAACAGTAAAATAAACCCAGAACGGTAACTGCTAAGGACATTCAAAAGTGAATATGGTAAAACGTGAGGAAGGGGTGTGGAAAAAAAACAATTTATATCCAGTGGTGGGAGTACACATTCGCTCAGGCTTAAGTCCGGAGACCCTGAGAACATCGCTTAACCCTCACAACCCGACCAGACACAGTTCAACCAGATATATCCTTCAAGAGGAAGTGGGTGAGGGAAACAATTAATAACAAGCCTAATACAAAACACCACAGAGAAACAACCATTCTAGAAGCATTTAAACAAGAGAAAGACGATAATGTTCGTCACCCTCACGATCAGAGTTTTCATCATCCGTTGGCGAGGAGGTGGGAAGTTGACTAGCCAATAAAGGCATCTGCCGGGCGAGATCCTTATCCTCAGGAGTGAGAGCTGTAACAATCAGTCTCTGGAAGAGGGATCGAATGCATGGAATACAACAGCAACCGCAGGTGACTAGGACAGCAACAAAAACTGAGATGGAAACTAGGATGGAAGCTACAAGGGCCTTATATTTGCCAAACATGTTAAGCCAAGAGTCCCACATGGCAGTATGAACGCCCGAGTGTTCCTTCATTTTAACAGTAAGAGCTGTGAGACCAGTAATAGCTTTAGTGAGGGAACCATCAGGAGCTGTGTTATTGGGGATATAGGTACAACACTCCTGACCAAAAAGGCTGCAGACTCCGCCTCTTTCTGCGAGGAGAAAATCCGTTGCGACCCTGTTTTGGAAAGCCATTAGGGAAGTGGCAGATAACTGTGCATGCACAGCTTCAAAACCATCTCGAGTGTAATTAGCCAACAGTTGCACATTAAAGTGAATGTAGTTAATTCTGTCTACATTCGCATTTATTTCAACCATCCAAAGTATCGAGGCCCATCCTGCTTTAACCTGGTCTCGCAGTTTATATTCATCGGGGACCCCACGGGGTATACCTACAGCATCAATATAGGTTGGATTATGAGCTGAACCTGGGATTAGAGAACGTTTAGAGCGGCGTTCAGAGGAGGATGGGAGGCCAACTTCGTGTACTTCTATAGAGAGATCTACTGGAGTGACTAAAACAGGTAAAATAAGAGTTATGAGAGCGCAAAGACCTGACGCATCCCGAGGGAAACCATCATATAACTTGTTATTGCCACACCACCACCACAAATCAGCCCTAGCCGTAGGTCGGAAGTTTGGTTTCATAACCGTCATCTCAGTGCACCAAGAAGAGTTCAAGCTACCTAGTTTTACTGCATTGCCAGTCAGGTTAATACAAGTGAAATTGTTCACAGCTACATCTCAAGAAAAGAAAGGTGGTTTATT